GGTTTTAATAAAGCCCCTATGGCTATAACTTTAAATAAACTAAACCAAAAATGTTATTGATGTTTTATATAGAGAGAGTAGGATCATTAGTTTTTGTTACTGTACTGTTTGAAGTCTCAGATGCACCGTACTACGGTAATAACATGGTTTTGAAAATTTTCTTTTTTAATTTGTCACAGACCTGTTGTCATAGTTGAAATGATGTTTATTGTAGATGGTATTTGAACTTATTCTTCTGGAAATAGTTCATCAAGTATGTTTGTTGCTCATTGTGATACATTAAAAGCTGTATCTGCATATTTGCTCTCTGTTTTCTTTCTGAATGGGCTCTCCAGTGTTTGCACAAGGTCTTAAAGACACTCCAGATGAAGGTGACATGGAGGAACCCACCTGAACCTTTGAGGCCCAGATTGCTCACAGAGCATCTGTGCAAATTACCTGGGAAGCAACTCAGAGCGGTAGGCAAGTGATTGGAAGAGGCAAAATGTGGCACAAAAATTGAGCATATTATATAAATAATCATATTTCTTTTTTGGTTTGTAGAGATACGGTTTCTTTGTGTAACAGCCCTGGGAACTAGCTCTGTAGGCCAGGCGGGCCTAGAACTCACAAAGATCCTCATGTTTCTGACCCCCAATTGCTGAGATTAAAGGCGTGTATCACCATCGCCCAGCTAATAATTACACTTTTTTAAGAGAAATTTTTACTGTGTAGTCCTGGCTACGCTGAAATTCACTCTCTAGATCAGGGTGATCCCAGAATCAGAATTCTATGTTCCTCTGCCTCCCAAGGGCTGGAATTAAAGAAGCATTGCACCATGTCTGGCTAATTGAGATTAATTTATAAAAACCCAATTTCATAATTTTAGCAGTCACACTCATGATTCTCAGTAGCTTTTTTTGCTGACAATGAGAGTTATACTTTCTTAAGCCTCTTATGCGTGTCGTGTATACTGTCAGATCTGAAAATCTGGTGGATAGATTTTGACAAATGAAACAATTTCATTTCAGAGTCTATTAACCTATTACTTTTAGTAATACCACTAGAATTTCAACACCTGTGTGTTCCTTTTGACTACAGAGCAGACACACTTAAAAAAAAAAACATTAAATTCAAACGTTCCCCTCACAAATCTCACTTTACCTGAAGCGCTGCTAAGGAATGAATTGTCCAGTCTGCACCCTGGTCTCAGGCCAGTCCTTCTACACTGACCTTGGAAGACTGAATTCAGGGCTTTGCTTTCTTGGCAACTATCAAAGCTGATGGCGGCAGAAAGGAGCGAGTTTTGTTCACAGTCCTCTTTCCTCTGCTGCTCTTTGCTTATTCCCACCAGTTCCACTTAAGTTGGAAAAGACCCCAAATAAACAAATCTTTCTCCTAGGGTACCAAAAGAACAAAAAAGGAAATGTGGTTGGTTGTCCGTTTCCTTTACTGCAATGTGGTCTCCAGTATTCTTTGGCATATTTTCTGTTAAGTCACTAGAAGTGAACCAAACCTGTTTTGCTATGTTAGGCAGCTCATAACCATTTTCCTTTGGCAGCAGCGAAAGGTAAAAGTAGATGGAAGCTTCTGTGCTGAACTCCAATATTCAAAAGGCAGACAATGTTTAGCAAGCTGCCCTTGAGCTTCTGAGATCGTGTTCAAGCGGAAGGCCAAGTTCAGGCCCCAGTTAAAACGAACTTTTTGATCTTACCTCCATCCCTAGTGATCACTCGTCCACATTAAGAAACTGAAATGCTACACTTGAGTTTTCTTAAAACACCAGCAGCAGCCCAGAGAGTCATGTTATGGGTGTTGACTGGAACTGAGGCAAAGTCCCAACTTAGTAACCCACTGTTCCTGGCTGGGTTCCCAGAGCCTTGTACTCATTGTGGTTTATTTCATTGCCTATGTGTGTTCACTCGCCATTTACTGGACCAGGAAACAATGTAAGCATTACCCTAGGGAGGGTAACATGTCACACAGTAGATATTTGAAATAGAGAGAAAAAAAAAAGAGACCTCTAAATGGCCTTGGAGCTGTAGACAAGTTCCAGAATCCCCATGCCACGCTCAGCACTGCTTTAAGGGTATTATTTCCTTACAGAAATTCTGGAAAGTAGATGATAGGAGCCCTTCCCCCTTTCATGGGCAGAAAAATAGAAGCCGAATGCTCTCCAGTGGATACACTATGATAGGATTGAGCCAAGTTTATCTAAAACCAATGCAATAGCTGTCTTCTCCATTTCCAAGCATTTTCTTGTTCAGTGATGCTACCTTTGAATACAAGAAGAGCATGAACATGGTTTTGAATTCTAATCCAAAACAATATCCTCCCCCAAAAGACCTGTCTCTATTTTGCTAGTCCCCATGGTTGAGGCATCAAGGTTGCATTGCTTACATCCAGCCTCCCTTTGTTTTGGGTCTCTTCCTACTCACTGCTCTTCTGTATTTGAGGAATTGAGAACTCACATCTGGGTTCTTCACACGGTCTCCCTTCTCGCTTGTTTTTGCTTTCAATATCATTTGCACAGATATCATTATGCAAACTTAAATATATAAACATGTAACTACTGTTATCTAATCAACCTATTTCTCTATGAATTCTGTTTTAGTTGTTGTTTGAATTAAGGAAAGTTAGTGAAAATCAAGGCCACATAATTTTCAAGACCCCAGGAAGAAATGAAAATGCAAACATTCCAAGACAGTTACAAAAGAGCATAAAACTAGGGATTGGCGCTCTGAGCACAACGTAGTCCTGATAATACCCATGAAAATAGCCCAACAGGCACTCTTAACCTTTGAATTGTTATAAGTAGGCACTGTGAAGGCAAATTTTTCTCTATCTTCTTTTTGTAAAGGTATAGTGAAAAAAAAAACAATCCTTTAAATCAATAACTATGAGAGGCCATCCTTTTGGTAATAAAGAGGGCAAAGGAATTCCAGATTGCAGAGGGCACATAGGTTGAATAACCTTGTTGATAGCCCTGAGATCTGTCACCATTCTCCATTTAACTGATTTTTTCTTAGCCACAAATACAGGAGAATTACAAGGGCTGGTAGATTCTTCTATATGTCCAGCATCTAATTGCTCTTGTACAAGCTATTCTAAAGCCTGTAACTTTTCCTCAGCTAAAGGCCATTGTTTTGTCCATATTGGTTTCTCAGTCAACCATTTTAGAGGCAAGGCTGTTGGTATCTCTGAAGGGACAACAACTGCTTGTTCTTGTACAGCCCGAATGGCCATTTTTTTTTTTCCATTTGTAATATCTTTTAGTATTATTTTCTGAAATATATACTCTAGAAGAAGTAGGAATGTTAATTTGAGTATTCCATTATTGTAATAGGTCACGACCCCTTAAATTCACTGCAATATTGGCTACATATGGCCTTAATTTTCCTATTTGTCCCTTTGGCCCTATGCATTCAACCCATCTCATGCTCTGCCCTACTCGAGATAGGGTTCCAATTCCCAGGAGCTGAACATTTACATTCTGAAGAGGCCAATACGGATGCCAAGATTCTGGGGTAATGATACTTACATCAGCACCTGTGTCCAGCAGGCCAGTAATAAAAATGCCATTTACACTCACTCTCAGCTTAGGTCTTTGATCACTTATAGAAGTTTTCCAAAACACACGGAACTCATCTTTCTGATCATTATTGCTTGTAACAGTAGGCATGGGGCTTCCTAATTGTCCTGACGAGGCACCTTCTCTGCAGTAACTGGAAATGACTGAGCCATGTTTGCCATGGGGGCCTGTGAGGCCCCCCTCTCACGTTTCCCGTCTGTATCAGGTTGCCTTGTCTATCTCTTGTAGACCTGCATTCATTTGTCCAATGTCTGCCTTTTCCACATCTTTTACATAAACCTGAAGGCTGAGTCCTCCTATTTCTGTTATTTCTAGAAGATGCATTATTATTATTTCTGAAAATCCGTTGTCTACAATTCCTTTTCATATGTCCAATTTTGCCACAATTAAAACTTTTGGTATTCTGGTGTCTCCTTTTACCACTGGAAATTGCTTCATCTACCCATGCTTCAGTGCCATAGTCAAATGTATCAACATTTAGTGTATACAAGACCCATTCTTCCAAGGGTGCAGATCTGAGCTTTAAAGGCCCCAAAATCCTTTTGCATTCCACATTTGTTTTTTTATAAGCCAAAGACTCAATCATTCTACGTCTTGCTTCTGGGTCAGATATCCCTATTTGTATAGCTCTAGTTAGTCTTTGTAAAAAGTCACTAAAGGGTTCTTTCTGACCCTGTTTAACTCTGACAAATGATTCCATTCTCTGTCCTGGGTCTTGCACCCTGTCCCAAGCCCTTAAGGCTGTTGTAGTACACATGGAGGGTATGTTTTCATCCAAATTAGCTTGTTCCTGAGGGTCGGAAAAGAGCCCCTCACCTAGAATTTGATCTAGGGAAATCTCAATTCCCTTTGCTCTTTTCTGCTGTTTTAAAAGTCTAGCCTCTTGTCTGAATAAGCATTTTTATTTAAATTGTGGTCTCCTCTCAAGTACCACAGAACTTAACTGGAGCAAGTCAGAGGGTGTTGTTCTGCGTGTTGTGGCCCAAGATTTTAGCATCTCTTTAACAAAAGAGGCGTGCATCCCAAAAGTCATGACAGCCTGTTTAATTTTTTTGAGATCATTTATACAAACAGGCTTCCATGTATCTTTTTTGATGACCCTAGGGTTTTTGGAACCAATCACTTTCTCTGTTGTTATTACTGGACAGGCAGGTAGAGCTGTAGGTAGAGCTTTGTGGGAATTGTTTTGGAGAGATTTACCCACAAATGGAGTTAAAATTTGTCTTTTTACCCTTTGTTCTTTTTTATCAGAATTTATAAATTTTTTAATCCTTTTAATTTTATTTACCATTGTCTTTTGTAATGTCTGAATCTTTCGTCCAGAATTATGTTTTAAAGCCTTCATTGAGGATTTTAAAGTATGAAGTTTGTACATTAGAGATAACATCTTATCTTTGAACATAATTTTTATGGCATAAACCGTGCCTTTTTGTATTGACAATCTTTTTGCCAATCTGTCATAAGCTTTAGACAAAATCCGATTGTTACATTTAGCAGTTTTGATTTTCTCAGTTAATATTTTAGTTCCTACAGAAAAGGACCAAAGCTTACGATCCAAATCAGCTGTTTTTTTCATAGTAATGAATTTTTTTAATATCAGTTATTAATGTTTTAGTTTCTACAGAAAGGGACTGAAGCTTACGATCCAAATCAGCTGTTTCCTCTTGCATAGTAATGAATTTCTCCTTA